TATGTACGTACAGTTACACAGAAGAGTGTTATGTACGTACAGTTACTCAGAAGAGTGTTATGTACAGTTACACGGAAGAGTGTTATGTACGTACAGTTACACGGAAGAGTGTTATGTACAGTTAGACGGAAGAGTGTTATGTACAGTTACACAGAAGAGCGTTAGGTACGGTTACACAGAAGAACGTATTGTATGGCTGCACAGAAGAGTGTTATGTACAGTTACACAGAAGAAGATTATGTACAGTTACACAGAAGTGTGTTAATTACAGTTACACAGAAGTGTGCTATGTGCTATTAATCTGAAAAAGTGTTATGTACATCTTATCTGAAGAGCGAAAGGTACATTTTATCGGAAGAATGGAATACGCAGTTCCTCACCTGTACATCTCTGAAGGTCCTGACTTGTCTGTGCCCCAGGACTTGGCCGGCTTTGTCTGTGCCTTACTGATTGGCCTACTTTGCCTGTGCCCCATTGATTGGCCTGCTTTGTCTGTGCCCCATTGATCTGGCCTGTGCTGTCTGTGCCAGAATGTCTGCATGCCAAGCCTACTGCCAACTTGCCTCGGTCACCATAAGGGGTGATGCCCCTATCTCCCTGCCGGTGACACTTGTCCTCTATACTCCTTGAGGTCGCTTTGCCTGGGACCGTTGCACAGGAGAATCCTTATCTGGGTTAACAGTGCAGACAATGACTACTATGGCAGTGACCACCTCTGTGGAATTAGGCTTCAGCCAGGGTCCTCCCTTAAGCTTATCAGGAGCGTAACGCTAGAGGGCCCAGCAGGCGACTTGAATGAGTCAGACTCTCCTAGGGGAGAGCAGGCAAGTGCACATGAGCTCTACTGGAAGGGTGAATGCCCTGAACCAGGCTCCCAGAAAGATAAGACTCCGAGGAGCGGCTAGCCCCTCTGCAAGCGGCCAGACGGCCTTGCCTATATGGCGCAGGGGAGGCGATGACCACCGGATGTGACAGTGACCACCTTCTTAAAAAGGAAGACGACTTGAAGGAGTCAGACTCTCCGAATGGAGAGCAGGCAAGGGTGCATAAGCACTACAGGTAGGGTGAAGGCCCGGAACCAGACGCCCGGAAAGATTAGACTCCGGAGAGGTGTCTAGCCCTGATACGAACGGCCTTAATGGCCAGACGACACTGCCTATGTGGCGCAGGGGTGAAGGTCCCCGTAACTCCCCCACCATGGCCGCCCTAGCTGAATGGCTTAGCCATTTTTGATAAAGCCCATGAGGTGAAACGCGTCAAATGGTTTTTTACTGTGAAATTTAACAATAAAAACTTTTATTCGGTACCCTTATTTATAGGACCAAATCTGTTTTATTGTATAAACACATTTTTTAATTTTTCCTGGCATTCAACTGTTCCTGCTTAAAGCAATCCACAGGTGGGGATTATTCCACCAGCGCGCTAATTATAGAGCAGTATTCCCTGCTCTATCATTGTGAGTATATTTTATTTTATTTTATATTTTGTTTTCTCTTCCTACTGAGAGCACTATATTTGTTTTTATATACCTTGCGGAATCCCACGAAACCCAAGTTGGACGGACGAACCCACTTCCACAGTAAATCCATTAGCGGGGATTATACCGCTAAGTGCGATTCAACTAAGAGCTGGTCCAAAGCTCCAACAAATGTGAGTGTATTATCCTCCATTTTCCTTCTTTTCGCTAACTCTCTCAGTACATACTATACCATTGGAAGTTTGTTGTGTTCTTATTTTTCATATACGGATTCCCTGGAAATTCGGAAGGATCAATCTTTGAGGACTGTATATACAGTTTATCAACATATCAGTGAGACACCTTTATGTATTTTATTGGACTTTTTAAGTTTTATTCTTATTAGTACACAGACTTTGTTTTATCCACCGATTCATTATCTTTCTTATTGTATTTTTATTGTATTATTTTATTACATTATTTTATTATCCACTTATTTTACCTTTGACATTTTTTTTTATTTAGCGCAGCCCTTCACCTTTTCTCTTTTTTCCCCCTACATTAAATGTATCTAATTCTTTTTTATATAACTATTAAAATCTATTTTTTTTTTTTGTGGTTGTTATTGACTAATTTTAAAATTACATTTTGTTTTTCTTATTTTAAACAATGAATATTTTCCTGGAAAAAGTAGTTGAAGACACACCAGAAAAACATATATAATGGAAGTGGGAGTTTAAAATGCCATTCTTTATTTTACTAGAGTCTAAAGACAAATGTTTACTTTTTTATGTATAAAATAAATATAGACAGTAGCACAGATTTCAGTAATATACCTGAGGTTACCTTAAAACCTAATGAAATTACTAGACAGATTTTAGCATTAAAGTGTGTGATGAGAAGCTTAAACTTGACCTTCTGAATTCTATTAAGGATATTGAGACTATGGTATGACTGCATTTATGAAATAAGTTATTCACCTTCAAAGGTTAAAGCTGAAAATAATAAGTAAAATGCCCAACTCTCGAGGTCACAAAACTTTTATCTTCAAGTATTGGACCATATGTGTATTAGCATAAATATTAGAAGACAAATGTTGGTTGTTATTAATTTCCAAGTAGACAGAAGTATACTTTAATTAAAGAATAAAATATGACATTGAAAACTGTCTTTTACATGCAGCTATATGAAAAACAAATTTGACCTTAGCGTTAAGAGAATAACATTTAATTATCTAATGTATTTTTGTCTCTTGAATAAGACTCCACAGGTAACTCTGGGACGGATCAATTTATATGGATGTGGATTAAAAGCCATTTGATTTGGAAAAAATGGCTCAAAAACTTTGCAAAAGACTAACGTAGAAACGCAATTAAAATGATACATTTTAACAGGCTAAGCATTTTTTTAAAGTATAATATAGGATACAGCCCCTAGCTCAAAGGAAGGCAACTAGTGGCAATCTAGATTTTGTGGACTACATCTCCCATAATGTCATATTGCTGGAAAAGCATCAGTGGAGATGTTACTAGTCCACAACACATGGAGTGCCAACAGCTGCCTACCCCTACCCTAGTTTTTCTTCTTAATCAGGTTCTGATATAGTTTTAATTGATATATGTATACTGTGTCCTATATGTTTTGTATAACATTTATCATTGAGTATCTGTTTAATATATAGAATGCTAGTCCAAATGAATGTTTCTATTTCCTTAACTATCTACTTTTTTACCTAAATATCCATCAAAAAAATTCACAAAATAAATTAAATCAAAAACATCCTGGAGGATAACATATAATAATGCAGTGAAGATGCTGAATACCGAAATTCCCATCTGAACTGTATCATCCTGCCAGAGATTTCAGAAGTAAAGTAAAGCCTAAACAACTGAACCATCACAAAGGCACTGTGAAGCTATTCTTCTAAATACATATTTGGAACAATTCTTCTTCCCTGGTAAATATTTCATAATAACATGTACATGTTCTCTAGTTCTCTGTGGGGAGACAAATCTTTACTCGGTTCTCTTTCATTATGCAAAAATCAAAGTGTGTCAAAACTATACTTTTAGAACTTGAATAATGGAGAGAACGGTGTGTGCTATTTAATTGTTTTTATTGTAAGAAAAAAACAACAACACAAAACATAGTTTATATAATACATTAAAAAAATTGAACCACGACATTCAAAAAATGAAAGAAAATAATAATTTTATTTTTGCATTCCCTAGTCGGATACCTAGCATGGGCTATTTAATACACAGAAGGGAAAAAAGCAAATTTATTTTGATTTAATGCTTAATTATCCTCATTTAAACTAAATTGTAGTTGAACCTATTTTCGGTCTCCTTTTATTTATTTATTTTTTCTTTTGCTAATTTGGTATTGAACATTCTAAGTGGTTCTATTTTATCATTAGCTACATGGCATACAACAAAATTTTAACTCTTCATCCACTTTTCCATCTACTCTTCTCACTTTGCATCCTTATCCTGGATTTACTCCCACATCTTCATAGAGAAGAAAAAGATGGCCGAGCAAGTGGTAACATTTAAAACTATATTGTCAAGTATGAATATAATATTACCACTGATGAAAGAGGTAATAAAAAGAATGTTTGTCAAAATAAAAAATAAAACATTTTATAAGGTTGAAATTATCTCCCTATATATTTTTTAAAAATATTTTTTAAAAGGAATGCGTTACATATTAAATTAAACAAGTTTGAATGCTACAGTAAAATGGCACAAAAATAAATAACAGCAAAAAAAAATGTAAGTGACAGATAATCCTAAACAATATACATTAAGATAAAGCAAATAATATATATTTAAGTTGATACTTCTCTCGCTCTCTCTTTTTTTAACATTTTTTTTTTAAATTTAGTATCAGGTATCTACAATTGAACATACCATATCATGTTAATGTCAAGTCATGTTAAGTCATTACATCCTGTACCCTGTTTCCATTATATGAGGACAATCAAAATAAAATGAAAATATACAAAATGTATAACAGTAAAGAGCAAATGCAGGAAAATAAATACAGGAAAACACAAACTATTTGTCATTTTAACCTATAAGAGAAACCTCGGGAAATCAATGCCAAAGTATAAAATCACAAATAAAAATAATTCTTACATAGACCAGAAAGTGGATCCAGGCTCTCGCTCTTTCTTTTAAACAAGAAGTAATTTTTGTTTTAAAGAGAAACTAAGACTCACAGACCAAAAACACTAGTGTGATAAACAAAACCCCCAAAATAGCATTGAAAAAAGAAAAAAACACAATAAACCAAACTATTTATAGTTAGAAAAAAACAGAGTAGACAGACTAGAATGCACGAAAAGAATTGTATAAACATAAGAAGTTAGTAACAGGAATTTTAGGGGAAATAAGCAAGAAAGCATATTAGAATAAAAGATTAGAGCAAACAACTAGATTAGGAATTAGTGATGTCCCGAACAGTTCGCCGAACGGTTCGCCACGAACGGTTCGCCACGGACTCATCATTGAGTAAACTTTGACCGTGTACCTCACAGTCAGCAGACACATTCCAGCCAATCAGCAGCAGACCCTCCCTCCAAGACCCTCCCACCTCCTGGACAGCATCCATTTTACATTCATTGTGAAGCTGCATTCTTAGTGAACTGTCCAGGAGGTGGGAGGGTCTGGGAGGGAGGGTCTGCTGCTGATTGGCTGGAATGTGTCTGCTGACTGTGAGGTACAAGGTCAAAGTTTACTCAATGATGAGTCCGTGGCGAACCGTTCGCGAACTGTTCGGCTAACCATTCGGGACATCACTATTAGGAATATATTATAAAGAGGGGGAAACTAAACAAAAAGGAGGAAAAGAGAAAAATAGGAGATATGTCAACTGCTGGATCAACTTAGAACTGATTTTCATTAAGATATTCTTTCCAAGGGTTTTAGACCTTTTGAGTAGGAAGTCTGCCAACAGATCTGCAGTCATTTCCTCCATACCATATATGAAGTACATTTCCCATAGGGGACCCCAAAATCAAGCATGGATTTTGTTCCATCTACTTGCAACAAAATGTACAAATTGTATGAAAAACTTTTTTTTATCATCAGTTATATCATTCTCAGTTATAGCTGGAAATTACCTATATTGTTAGAATTTCTATAATTTAGTTTTATTACTATTATTATTATTATCACTAGCATTCATATAGTGTCAAAATACTCTGTAGCATATTACAATTTCAGAAAGGGGAGATGGAGCTGGAGGGAAAGAGGGAGATGGACCTGGAGGGGCAGAGGGAGATGAAGCGGAACTGCAGAAAGGTGAGGGTGCTGGAGAGGAGTGAAGGAGATGGAGCTGGGGGGGGGGGATGTAGATGGAGCTGGAGGGGAGAGTGGGAGGGAGATGGAGCTGGAGGGGAGAGTGGGAGGGAGATTGAGCCGGAGAGGAGAGAGAGGGAGATGGAGCTAGATGGAAGAGTGAGAGGGAGATGGAGCTGGAGGAGAGAGAAGGAAGGAGATGGGGCTGGAGAGGAGAGAGGTGGCGCTGGTGATGGAGAAAGGTGGAGGGAGATGGATCTGGAAGGAGGAGAGGTAAGGAGTTGAGGTAGAGGGAGCTGGAGGGAGAGACGGAGTTGGAAAAGAGAGCGGGAGATGGTGCTGGAGGGGCATTGGGAGATGAAGCTAGAGGGAGTGAGGGTGCTGGAGAGGAGTAAGGGAGATGGAGCTGGAGAGAGAGGTAGATTGATTGATGGAAGGAGAAAATGGAGCTGGAAGGTGAGGGAGATGGAACTGTAGTAACATCTGTACACAATGCATTAGAGGGATGGTATAAAAAAATATTCCATGGCTGTTTTTTATTCCCAGTCTGGCCCTCTGAGGGGTGTTTATAAAGAGCCACTGTCTCCACCTATGATTATCCTACAGAGGCATGAGAGTCTTCATTTAAAAGAGTGTACATACCTATTTCGAATGTAGATTCACATAATCTTGTAATCTACCAGTGATCCCCTGGGATCCCTCAAGGATGCATTTTATAAAGTGTGTAAGGGGATCATTTAGATTCCAAGGTAAATCAAGATTGCTATTGATTGAATCAACACATCATGCAGAATTTTACAACTGCTACAAAACCTTTTAGATGTTATTGGTGACAGAAAGCATGGGACAACCTTTGTACTGAGCTTTACGCATGATGGACACATTGACTGACAGGTGATTGAATAGCTCTCACATGTTATTTTGTATAGGTGTCCCACCTATACAAATAGAGACATTCTCTATTGGGAATCAAGTTTAGTCACTTTTCTGGCACTTTTCTCATCACTGTATATTGTAAATTGTAATGATTGAAGCCAGAAGAATGGTATGTCCTGGTTTATTCCTTTATTACAATGATGGCTAAATTTGCCACTGCAAATAGTTTTAAACTACATCTCCCATGATGCCCAACCAGTACATGTTATATTACTTTGACAAGCTATATTTTCTTTTCTATATCCTTTGAAAGAGCAAGTTAGAATCATGTTATTCATTCAGTACTTTTTGTTCTTAAAGTGTCAATTTTAACATGTTTTACCAGTAATTTACATGTTATGAACATATTGATTATATCTTTATTAATAAAAATGTCCACTGTATTAATGTGTCAAATCAAATGCAAGAATCCTTTGAATTGGATAAAAAACAATATTTGTACATAAAAGTAACTTTATCATGTTTAATGTCTCAAAAGTAGCAAAATTTATTTTTTTAATTTATTTGTAAAATATTTTATAATGTATGAGTAGTGTCCTAGTGATAATAACTGATTATATGTAGATGGATTAACAAAGTTAATAAAATGTAATGGATCGAATGCGGCATTGATGCCAGATGATACTCTGCCAAAACAGTATAGAAATGTAAACATGCAGGCTATGTTTATTTTCTTCTTAATGGACACATAAGTGTTACTACCTGGCCCATGCTGGCAGCTTTATAACAGGCAAATCTTATATAAAAGAAAGTGAACAAATATTCTGCAAAGACCTGACTGCAGAAAATAATGCAAATCATGTTCTACATCAAGGCAAGTGTAAATACATGTAACCAATAGAAAAACATCAACTTCTTCGGGTCACACATTTTCACAGCTGCTACACATTGTGAATACTGGGGTTTTGGCAAATGGGCTGTATGTTTATTATTTTTTATATTTTGCTATTAAAATAGTCAAGTGGAAACCACATTACAAATCGGAAACCAAGTACACTAGTCCATACTGTCCTTGCACTACACTTCTTCACAAACCAGCTCCATAACTTTCCCACCACACTCTGTGCATGTACACATATATTGATCTGTGGTGGCTGACAATGACATGAGAAATAAAAAGGATTATCTCTAGATCTGTGGTAGACCCACACCAACACATCATGCTCTTTTTCAGAAAGAAAAGATAAACCGTATTTGTATTTCATATTCTCATGTTCACTCTATTCTTAGATTCTACATGGATCTCAAACCTCAGAACTTAATTTACAATTATCTTTTTTACAATCTGTGTTGAATTGTTTTGACAATCGTGCGCTAACCTGTTTCTATTTCTGTATGTGATTCAACTTTAAACAGAGTAAAAAAAAAGATTAATTTGGGAAATCTAGTGGATGGTATAAGTATGATTGTTAGAGCATTGGAGAGGAAAAGATGAAAGAACATATGACAGATCAGGTAAACTTAGAAGTAGTGGTAAGAGGGCCTAAATCTGTTGCTGTTGTCACAGTAGGAATTGAACTATGGTGGACTAAAGGTTATTGAAGGCATTTTTGGAAGGGTGGACTTTTAGGAGTTTGTGAAATGTTTTAGGGACAAGGCACGTTGTAATGTAATTAGAATGAATGTGCTTAGAACATTTAATCCAGTAGCACAGGGCTATAATCAATAATAAGAAGATCTGGAAAGGTGGAGGAAAGGTATGTGGTCAGGGCTGTGAAAGTGATAAAGAAGATGAAAAAGTAGTGGAAGAAAGAGATAAAAACAAAAAAGTATACCTGAGTGAGGTTGTAGAGGGATTTGTATATGAAAGTGAACTGTGAAAAAGTAAACAAAAAAGGAGGACATGCGGTAAATTGCACAAAACCTTAATGAACACTTCAGTAAATGTAAGATTCAATCATTACCACAAAAGCATGTAAATCACTTGGGAATGGATTCTCCTATAAGAGATAGCTATACATCACTCTGGTAACTGGCTAATAGCTATTAATAGCATTGATTGAAATTAATAGCATTAATAACAAAATATAGCCCTAAAACAGAAAAACAAACAAGACGAAGAATTGCAAAACAAGCAAAGAAAAAAAGTTACTTGTGCATTAGCCCAAATCCCTATGCATATTTAAACAAATGGAGATTATTTAATAACTCCAATGGCCATTAGATGTAAGCCCACCTGCCACCTCAAGGCAAACCTCTTAGGTGGTCCTACACCAACAGTTCCCGCTTACACCTACCTTTTGCTACTGGCTTTTTGTACCCGCTTACACCTACCATTTGATGCTAGAGCCACTCCAGGTGGAGATATACTCGAACCTATCGCCTTCTTGTAAGTGTATTTTTATTACATAAAGTGTTGTTTTTAACGTTATCATGCTATTGGTTCCTGTTTTCATGATCCACAGTTATTCACGGAAGTACATGCTAAAGGAACCTTACCCCTTTGAGGGGAGACAAGCCTGCATTTTCTTATGTCTTGTGAGTTCTCTCACTTCCCTCTTCACCATTTCCCCCCATACACAACTGTGTTACACTATATATTACTCGTGTTCTCTAGATCTGTGACTAGATTTCGCTCATACTATCGGGTGGTATTTTCCTTCTTCATTTAATTTGTGTGGAGCAATTTTTGTCTTATACTCTGTATAAGTGTGTGTTTTACTTTTATCCAGTGGTGTTGTGAGGTCCAGTTATTAGCTCCTGATTCCACTTTTGTACCCCTCTTATAGTTACTCATTTCTGTTGTGTACCATTTACTATTTCTTTTTTTACGTGTATGTTGTCATTGTTCCTAAAAAAAGAAGTTCCACTATTAAGGGTGCAAAATGATTTGAAATAGTTCTAAGATTTAGAGATCCAGGAAGAAGGACTAACAACATGGACTAAAGTCTTTCCTATATCCTAAATCATACAGTTACACTATGTACACTATGAGATCCCAGAAATCACATAAAAAACACAACTCAATTAATAAGAAAATTAGCCAAACTATTTTTAAATACATTTTAAATTATTGCAGTGTCAATAGCTATAAAGGCGCCTTTTGTACTTTACAAAACACTACCCTCACTTAACCTGATCCTAGCAATTGAATGAAATTAATAATTACTGCTTTATAAGTTTTATAAGTGCCCCCTGACACAGCTCATCATTAAATGATAGATAAAGTTGCCTCTTTACAATAGAGAGTCCTTCAACTTCATTTGTCCTTTTGGTATCATGTAAGCACTTAATGATCAATGTGAATAGAAATGTTTAAAAACTTTACAAATTGAAGCTATAAAGTGTGTTAAACTTCATAAATAAATACAAAACTGAAAAAATATGGCTAGAGTTAAAATGCATGTTTTTGTGGTCAGGGCCTTTAAGTTAAAAGTGCACTGAGAATTGGAGGGAAGTAAAATTGACTAGTACGTAAAAAAAAAAAAACGTACTTAGAAAGAAACATAAATCAGACTCTAGAACAGAGATGG